GGGTCAGGCTGTCTGTAGAGGGGAAATATCTCAACCCCCCTGCTCTTTCTCTCAGGGAGAGACAGAGATTTTTGGAATCTCATAATCGTATAAAATAATTAAACAACACTGGCTGATCCACTACATCAGCTAAGACCCTTTTCCACCACTAAAGGAGTAAAGGAGCTGGCCGAGTGAAATGGAAAGGATTTGAGGCCATCTACAGGCTGACGTGTGTAAAGTTTTCTTCCTTTCCAAGTATCAATAAGGATGTTCGTTTGCGTTCAGCTGCCCATTCCGCACCTGCGCAGTGTGTGTCACAGTCGCTCTCGCGCATCAGTGGTACATAACGTGTTGGCCAGTAATACTGTAATATTACTTTTCCCACTAAAGAATAGTTGACGGATTACTATTTCCAAAACAGTAATGTTATTACAGTTACTAATCATATTAAGGCTGCCCTACTGAACGCACCATCCCTGATGTGAATGCGCGACTGCGCTGCAGCTCAGCGGCACCGGACCTTATCAGCTGTTAGCCAAAAAGCTAAAGGAAGACAGAAGAACAGGGAGGAGAGGTATTTTCGACAGCTGTAAGTAACGTTGTTGCCATTATTGTGTATTTGTCACAGTCTAAGATGCAAAGAACATTGTTGTCCTTTGTAAACTTTGTGCGACCAGCAAAAAGCTTTTAACCGCGAACAATTCTACATTGACTTAGGATAATTGAAGCATCAGCTGAAGCAACACAACAACATGAAACTCAAACTCCAGTCGCTACTGCCAGTGATGCTTGGACTCATCGGGAGAGAGTGGCGTTATATCACCCCATAATAAGTAGGATAGAGTAGCTAATATTAATTTTTTAAGGAGTATCCTATATGCTAAGTGACTAGGTAATAGCCCAATTTATTTCTGAGTAACTTGCCCAGCACTGAGTTGACAATAAGCATCGGATAAATTGGGTATGTTTTGATTATTGCTTGTTATAGGCTATGTCTAATGTTTACTTTGACTTTGTTGTCGATTGATCAATGATATAGCCTACATCCACTTTGCTGTATGAATGGTTGCTATTTAAGTCTTTATGTCCTTATGTTAAAGGTTTTGGCAAGTTATAACTTCATTTCTTGTGAATGATTGTGACAGAGTTTATAAGGCCTTTTCAGACGCGGGGTCGCTCTGCGCTCCTCAGACGCGGGGTCGCTCTGCGCTCCTCATCAACAGACAGGCAAACAAGCTCTCCATGAGGTAACCATGGCAACGGCTTCTGTGTAACTAGTGTGATCCCGTGAAACTGTTGCGGTCGACTGGTTGATCTAATTTGAAAGTTAGTAGTTATATTATTTAGTTATAGACTCAATAATTTCATGTTGCACATTTAGCTGTTGAAGCTTGGTAAAAAATGAATACAAAATAATTATTATAGAGAGGGGGCAGTGGATTAGACACTTGTCTTTGATTCCCACTGCAACACATCCACCAAATGAGTTACTGTCTTGGGTCCTGGTTTACCATCCATATGTTACAATAGAGCCGCCGCCAGTTTTATCGGCGTGTGGGGAGGGTCTCAGTATATTTTCCTGCTTTTTTGCCCTTTGCCAATCACATGCCTGGTTTTAGTATCACCTCAGTGGCGGTGATACGGAAAAAAAGCACCAGGTATCAGATACAGTTAAAACTTTTACCCAATGGAAAACCAAAAAAGGCGAGCAGTCGAAGAAAGTCAAGCTGATACCATGTGGTGGAAAAGGGGCATTATAATCTGAGTCAACTGAACTCAGATTAGTGCTGCTGGATGAGGAGAAATAGACAGAGTGACAGCACTGGTAGGAGATTCAACATATGCTTTTTATCTTCACGTATCACTCTTTCATTGGTTCGGTCATCTACTAATAGAAAACCTGCTCTGTGTCGATTGATACTGACAGGAGATCAGATCAAAACTCTGAGCAGAGGAAATTATAGACATCTGCAAACTTGATCTGTCACTCCTCAGACAGCAAGCAAATAGTGAAGAATGTTAATAAGGATAATGCTTGGATATTATTTGTCTGTTAAATCATGTGAAGATATAAATATATTGTACTGTATTGTGAATGCATTATGTGTGGTACTATATGTAACTCATAAAGTGAGTTGTCTTAATTTGTGAAGGCTACATGCACATCTTCAAAAGTTTCAGATCAATATTCAGCCTTGAACGAGGTTCAGTGGGAGTTGAATTTTACACAGTAGCTCATATATACTGAGCTGCATTCAACATGGACAAAATTGTGTGTGCATATGAAAATGATAATTCCTGGAAACCTCAAAGGAAATAGCTCTGTTGTGAAGAACATTTCAGCTTGAGTTCTGGGAAATAACTCTTATTCACATTGGTTTTTCCTTCCAAAAGAAAAAGCAGCATATTCCTTTCTAAAACAGTGGCTAGCTGTGTCTCTAAAGCACAGTAAAATGGGGATGTGAAATGTTTTCCTGACTGAAACAACATGTTGTTAAAATATGAAAAGTACATTTTATAATGGCAAAATCATACAATATGATTTTGTTTTGAATTAATTCAGGGGCCTGCAAAGAATAAGACAATATCAAATGCCCACTTCACTCAGTCGGTTACATTTATATCAACTCACAAAAAAAGCAATTAAAATACGTTACAATTTTGCTATGAATTTACAAGGTTATATCTGTGTGGTATCTCAGTAGTTTACAGATATTGAGCTTAATGCCATGTTTCTTTTTTAGGTCCTGAGTATTATTTCTCATGTTGGCATTGTTTGCATATGGCATGTGCTTTGTCTGTTGACCCGTCTTTTCTTCGAAATCCAAAATATTTACATACCAGCTGATTTATTCCAGAGTGTAGTAATTATAACCTCCAGTCTCAGCCAATTTCCTCGTCCTTTTTTGGGTGCATGCCATGAGCAATAGGAAAGAGCCACGCAGGTGGAAAGGATGACACAGGTGTGATGATGATGAGGATATGTATCGATGTTTTCACTTTGCATTGATAATATTAGGTTGTTGATCACTGAATAAATGTATCCATATCAATTGATTGTTCCACCATCACCTAAAAGAACCTGAACTTTCAAACCTCCTATTACCATCGAATCCTAATATATTTTTGGGAGATTTTACCTTTTCGACAGTAAAACCTTGAAATTTCAAATGACCCTATCTCATGAGCTATTGGTAGTGAAAAATATTTCCACTGCCCATTTTACAACTTTATATACAGAAAAATATGTTTTCAAGCTTCATAATGGAATAGCTGCATTAGAATTATAAGTTAATTATGCAAATTCTTCAGCTTTTCTGCAGGGTTCTTGGAGCTATACAGTTGTTTTTAATAAATACTGATTCAAAGTAAATGTTGTTGAAGCCTCCGAGTGGTGATAAGTTGATTTGCTTCCTTTGCAGTCTATTTGGTTTAACATCTTACTTGTATTTGTTGTGTCATTGTAATCACATATTAGTGTAATCATACTACAAACTACATTTTATCAGTTTGCTATGTATTATTTAAATGAAATGAGGTCTTTAAGAAGCAATAGCATGGGGAAGTGTTACAATGACCCCATACTGTATCTACACACTGATGTAGTTAGCATAAATGTAATTAACTTGATATTGTCTGCTAAAATACATCAAACTAGATATAAAAGGTGTGATTTCTGTCAACCCAATATTTGCATTTAATCAAACCTCAAAGCCATATTGAATGTTTTATAGACTTTCCATTCTAGAGAACAGAGACAGGAAAAAAAGATGTGTTATAGAAGTGGAGATAGAAAATGGCTTTTTGTCTACCATCCTTTATAGCTACTGACCATGATTACGATGTTTGATTATTATGTTACTGTGGCACAGTGACCCACAAGACTATAATTTAGTAAGGGAAATGGACAATAAAATTGACTTTTCTCCACAATATTCCTCATGAGCTATTTCACACTCCCTCCAAATATCACTATTTGTGGAGAAGGATGAATGTTGTAATGAATAGTACCATTTGAAACTAAGTGGCTAGCAGTGGTGTGTGTCTCACATTCACTAAAAGCAGATTTAAATGCATGGTTTGTTTTTTTGAAGTGGGGTTGTATGAGGTACTTATCCAGAGTCAATGCATTACGTACAGTAGATGACGATCCCCACTTTGGAGAAAAAGACATGAGTACCAGTACAGAAGCTAAACAACCTACTGCTGTGGACAGGGTCAGTAGTAAAACGTATATTAGACACCTGAAAAGAATAAGTGTTAGTGCACGCTATATTTAGAATTTTTTGACTACTTAACCTTGCTGTCAGACAGCCTTTTCTTACCTTGGTACATTCAGGCCGTTGCACAAATCTAGGGGGGTCCCATGGAGATTCTTTTTCCCATTCCCATCTGAGACAATAAAAGGGCTAAATATCTACACATTATTTAGGAAAAACCTGATAGGCCAGGGGTAAAAAAAATCTTTCTGTTGAGCCTATATCTACGTCTTTGTATCTAATTGTTCATTGTGAACCATAACACAAAATGTTGAACATCACAAATGTTTACTTCTGCCACCTAAAACAGTAAACATTATCTGATATTACTATATTTAAGATAGATAATAGGGGTAGTGATGGAACAGTGGATAAGAGACATGCTTTTGGTGTGACAGACCCCACTGTGACACAGTCACCAATGTGTCCCTGAGCAAGACACTTAACCCCTTGTTCCTCCCGTGAAACTAGCTCGTCCTTAATAATAATAACATCATCAAGCAAAGATTTTTGAAATGCCCCCGGTAAAGCCTCATCGTCCCATCTTCTCACCGTACTTACTGTAGTGAATCACGGATCACGTTTGCTGGTAAAGTAATGAGTAAAGCCATACAACTGGAGCAGTTAAAATAAATGGGTTTCATATCTCTTATGAATATTATGAGCCTATAGTATAGTTTGGAAGGCGTTTTCAAATTAGGTTTAATATGAATTTGTTTATGACTGTGGGTTGCATTTGTTTCTCTAAGACTCAGAATATAAATGCGAACGGCTGTAACGTGGTTTATTGAGTTGATACTTAAATGTGCAAGGGGGGAAGGCAGAATACGGTGTCTGGTGAAAGGTGTCCAAGTGGGGGGTCCCAAGTTACTGGGTTCAGGCTGAGAGGGACAAACAGAGCTCGCTGTCCTTGGGAGGAGTTGAATTCCAGCACTGGTCGGGGGAGGGAATCCAGTCACGCAGAGGATCCAGAGTTCGTGTGCTGCAGGAGTGTAGCGGAGACAGAGTCAAGTCCAGGCAGGGAATCTGCACACAGAGAACAGAGTTAGACAAGTACAACAATAACGAAGCAACAAATTGAGTGTGCAGTTTAGTCTACAATCTGGTGACGAGTTGCAGAGACGACAAGGTATATATGGTGTGGTAGATGATGAGCAGCCGGTTCCTGACTCCCGTGCACCTGGCTCCACTCCTGCGATTAAGCGCACACACAGAGAGGCACAGGGAGGGGAGGAGGAGAGAGAGATGAGTACTCATTGGGCTGCAAAGGCAGCAGGCCTGACATCTAGATGAGACTTCAGATGTTAGAGTAGCCAGAGAGAGTGAACATTTCTGTGTCTGTAATTTTACTTTTGTTTAGTTTTGATTTTTATTACATTAGGTGTTAAGAGTGTAATCATAGAATCCAGCAACCCTATGGATACACTACATATGGCGTGTGGACGCTGTAGCCATGTTTCTATGTCCAGTTGAATGCATTACTTTAACTTTCATTTCATTTCAACATTGTTCTAAATCAGTGAGTAAGAAGTGTGATCATGTACAGTAGCGAGTGAATATGATCCATAACTTGATGTTCTAGTCCCTATAAGGGGATGTTATGGACATATATACTCCAGGGCTATTATGGTAAATGGTCTGTATTTGTATAGCGCCTTTCCAGTCCTTTCCACAACTCAAAGCGCTTTACACTACATCACATTCACCCATTCACACGCATTCATACACTGCTGCTAAGGAGCCAACTGCACATCAGAACACACGCATTGACACAACGGAGTCGGGCGCAATTTGGGGTTCAGTGTTTTGCCCACGGATAACTCAACATGCAGACAGGGGGAGCCAGGGATTGAACCACCGACTCTCTGGTTAGTGGATGACCGCTCTATCCCCTGAGCCACAGCTGCCCACATTATGCCCACGCAATCGACAGTTCCTGCATGGTTTAAGAGTTGAGATGATGGCAGTGTTTGACAGTGCCAGATAAAGCATCAAAAATTTACGCATCACAAACAGTTGGCTGACATGGCCAACATGGTCAGTGGTCTTAATCTAGAGGGAGGACTTGGTTTGACCAGAGATGAGTAAGTGAACGAGCTAACAGGTCTGCAGAGACTCAACAGGAAGAATAACTGAGGTCTCTCCTTTTTCTGTTCAGTCAAAACACCACAAGACTGACCCAGAGTGTAGGTGAAGGGAAACATTATAAAAGGTTTACCTATGTTTGGAAATATTTAAAGAAAGATCTGAGGAACAGAATGATGGGTCATGAGTTTGTCAGTCTGCACACTAACGTGAAGGTTACAGATCTGCAGGTCAGATTCTGAGCTTCATCTCTTTTCTGTTGAGGCTTCAGTGACTCCAACCTGACACATTCACAACTCATTGACAGATACATTTAATAACTAACAAAAAGCATGTTAAATGTCAAAACTTTGCAGAAGATGTTGGCAGTTTGAATTAAATCCAGTGTCAGAAGTTATTTTGTGGCTCAGGTACGTGTGTGTTTTCTGCCACAGAGAACCAGGAGCCTTTCATGTTGGGTAGCCCAGGGATGTTGTACTCTGTGGCATTAAAAACAGCCTTATCAAAGGGTTGCATCCACGTTGCAGGCAAACACACACACACCCACCCCCCTTATGTATATACACTGCCTCTCACACCACTCTGAAGTGTATAGGAAACTCTGGCTCTTCTTCTTTTCTTCTGTCTCCAGTAATTTAGTGTCTTTTTCCCTACAGACACACTGCAGCATCAGGACATGCCATGACAGCTTTACTGTTTACTCTGAGTTAAAGCATAACTAGACAAGACAGGTGATCCTGAGTCTGTCAGCAACATTTTGTCATAAAAGCCAGTACATTTGACTAAAGATTTTGTGTATAAATTATACTTGATACTTCTTGAATGCTGGTTTCAGAAGAAAGTCAGATCTTTTATAATATTACTTGAACTTTTAGTATGTGAACTCTGAAAATTAAGATTTAAATCACAAACTATCTGATCAAAGAATAAGCAAACAACACCATGAATTGGACCAGAGGCCTGTACCACGAAGCAAGTTCAACATACCCAGGGTATGTTTTAATTGCGATCGGGATGAGTGGTCACACAAAGCTGGTTATCAACTTGGTAAGTCAGTCCCGGGTTTCCCAATCCAGCCAGGAGTGTGTTTACATATCAGAGGTGGTGTTAGCAGCAGATGACCAGTCAAAAACGTGAACAAGTCTACTGACAGCAAACTGTAATAGTAGACAAATAGACAGTAGCACAGCTGCAGCTGACACATGCAGAAAGACAGAAAATGGCAGATAGTGTGAATGTCTGAATGGACCGGCGTAGCCAAAAATATGAATGTTTATTTAATGTGTTCTTATTACGTATATGAAAGCATTAGACTTTTTCCTTTCAGCTTGCCTATGTGTCGGACTCGGGCTCACTTTTAAGAACTTCTTGTCACTTCAAAAATCAGTTTAATTTATTTAACAAACTACAAATTGTTCCAAATATTGTTCTTAATAAACTACATAAATCAACGAAATGGAAAATCCATTCATGCCATGAAAGGTGCTGAAATAGTGGTTGGAAGACTGTATCACATGTACTGTCACTGACCAGTCTCTATAATAGGCTACAAGATAACCATTTACCTAAAATAAAGCTATTCATATTAAACTTAATTTCAGTAGGCCCACCAAAGTATATTCTCATAATTATTTATTTAAAACAAGTGGTAGCCTACAAGACTTGAGTAGCATAGGATGATGTCGCTACACAGAACTTTCTCCGCATCACTGCAGCAAACATAAAGGCAGCCTGCTCCAGAGCAGGTTAGCCGTTCAGCATAATTTACCATGTTGATCTACCCTGGTAAGTGAACCACAGCCGTGGTACTGAAAACCCAGGGTTAACCCTGAAGGTATCTGGATAAGCTCTTCATACAGACCCTGGGTAACACAAACTTTCATCTTTGAACATTCAGTGCTACAGACAAGTTTTCATCAGTACACAAAAAAGTGTTAAGGTTTAGTGCCCTTTTTTTCCTCCCCATAGTGTTTGTGTTTAAAAGTGTCAGTTAATATGACAACAATGCACACTTGTAATTTTCACTTCAGCAATTAACAAACAAATGTACCTGATTCTCTCTAAATGATTAACTTCTGCTGACTAAAGACGATGACTTTAGATTCAGGAGCCCCAGAATAATAGTTTAGCTTTTTCATTTATTAAATGCCAGTAATCATATTGGAGATGGTATTTAATCACAGTATCTAATACCAGCAATAATGTCTAACAGGCCACATGAGAGAGATCTTATGACAGAAAGGGAGACAAGGTGAACCAAGAGAGGGAGTAGGAAAGGTTTAGTCCTCTAGCCTCCATGTTAAAACCCTCGATGTCTTTGAGCTGCATGAAGAATGGTAGTGTGGCAGTTTAAGTTAAAAGGTTTCTGCTGTGCAGCCTCAGATCTACACTTCAAGCTGTCATGATCAGACATCCATCAAAACTATATGAAGACAGAAAAGGGGAGGAGAAAGAGGTTGAGCAAGATGTAGGAGAATAAATCTGCCCTTGAAACATGATTCGTGTTGAAAAGTGGCAGATAAATATTTACACACACACACACACACACTCATTACTTTTTTTCAATGCTCAAATGTTACAGTACAAAATGAAAATGCTTTATACAAGTTATAATGGGAAAAAGACACTTTTTGGGAAGGTTAGATTTTCTGTGAGATAAAATTAGTGATGAAACTTTTATACTGGAAATAAAAAAAAAAAGAACACACATTTGTGAAACAAAGTTGTTTGGTTTACATTTTGTCACTATTGTTTGATTCATATCAACCTGTGGATCATGTATCAGTGGCCTGTACTACAAAGCGGGGTAACTGGCTTATCCAGGTGACTTCAGGAGTAACTTTGTGACGTCGGGTGTAACTTCCCGATTAACACCTACTACTAAAGGTGGATACGTGTTACCCGAGGTCTGTTGCCATGGCAATTTACGCTGCCTCTCTAAACTGCTCCGAGCAGGTTTTGTTCGTGGTTAACTCGAGGTTACCCTGCACGTGAACTACACACCACATCTTTACTCAGTGTTAATGATGAGAAGTAGGATATTAATTCACACCACTTAATAAAATGTTCTGAACACAACAGTATTACATTCAGACAGCGAGCTCTGCAGCCTCTGTGATTTTAGAGAGGAATCTTAATTAATTAATGGGATAAAAAATACAGAGCCAGAGTGAGGGTTAATAACGAGAAAAAAAAAAATTTCCTACATGAAAGTGTGAAATTTACATGAAATGTCGTAAAAAAAAAAGAAAACATAAATGACAATCACTCTGGTGTTTTCTTCTTAATATGCCCAATCCAAGGCAAAGTCTCTAAGGTGCATGATAGTGATTGTTGACTAATCTCAGGAGTATTTCCTCACTGCTAAATCCGATTTCAAAGTTTAATATAACTTTCCAATGCATGCATACTACACGGCAGTGTGTGTGTGTGTGTGTGTGTGTGTGTGTGTGTGTGAGAGAGATTTTGCAGCCTTACAAAATGAAGTTTCTCTCAAATGTGACTAATTTTACTTGTAGATTAATCTACAAGAAATTAAATTTTCCCTCGGATTATTCCCCCTGTGCGGTGGCTCCTTTTTTTCTATTACAATGGACCTTATGTGCAGTTGTACCTTTACATCTTAATCATAAAAGAGCCCATGAAATACATAAGAGTTTTGAACTACAATAAGAACACTACAAATTTACTCCATGCGATGCCAACAAGCCTCCCTGACTGTCGGTCGATACGATATTAGATTTAGCCATTAACTTGTCTTTACATTCCTAATTTCCTGACACTACCAATGTGCATTCCTCTGGAGAAATATGGAGCATGTGCCGATGCACAAAAACTCTGCCTGCATGGCCGAACACACCCCTTTTATGTGAACACGCACCAACTCCAATTAAGTTAACATCGGGTTAACATGGACTAAACTATCTAAAACTTATCCACCTTCCTACCGTTTAACTCCAGTGTAGGCGGTCAGAGCTTGTCAATCCTGAGTTTGGCTGATAACTCTGAGTTATCTTTGAGTAGGTTGAACTCCCTTCGTAATACAGGCCACAGATCTGTGGTTGACGCAGTTGTGAAGTCGTTGATGGTGACAAACTTTTTTCAGAGCTCAGGAAAAGCACAGGTGGAATTAATAACGTTAATGATGTCTGCAGTCTGGAGCTTACTGGGACCTCGTTAGTGTTAATAGTTCCACCTGTGCATCTCTGCTAGTAAAGTCAGAGAAAGACAAGAGCCGCTTTCACACAGAGACCCCGCAATAAATGCGGAAAGTATGTCCGCCAATATACCTCATTTGCTCATTCATACTGAACAAAATATTGCGAGATAAACCCACAACCATGTGTGCTTTCACGTAGCATTCTGGCTTACCTCCACTGAGTCCGCCTACGCCGCACCTGCCTGAGCTCATCCGGTCAATTTTCGCAATAAAATATTCTGTGCAGATTCCCGATCGTAAAATAATAAACACTGTTAAAACAGACAAAAAAGAAACCATTTAAGTATGTAGCCTACTTAATCATGGTAGGAGCACAAAAGCAAGCACTTATTACCAAATCAACAAAATCTAAACATGTCAGCAACATTGGGCAGGCAAATGCTGATTCTGATGGATAAGCAGCCTAAAGAGGATGGAACGAAATGGGGTCAGAGAGAGCTGTGAAGAAGGTAGTAGAAGCACAAAAACGACAAAATAACAACAAGTAAATGCTAAAACACTTCCAGTGGACGCCTGGGGACCTAATAAAACCGTGGCGCAGCCGGAGTCAATGGACTTTCAGAGTTAGACTGTTAATAAAAGACTGCGACTTGTAACACAACAGCGTTTAAATGTTATTCCTGCTCCGGCATGCCAGCTGTGGCTTTGACATTGTTCCGCCTCCGTTACTACCAACATTCCCGGCTCAAAGGCGCATCAAATCAGACCCCCTTTCCGGCTCGGTACCTTTCACACAGCGCAGCGAGCCAGCGTATTGGCATAATAATCCTGGAAAATTGGGCAGTGTGAAAGCGCCAATGGACAATGGAAGAGACAGAATGGTATGGAAAGAGCTTCTAAAAACTATTAGATATTGGATCACACTGCTACTTATAAATTACCGTTTAAAAGCAAATGTAAATTATGAAAATATTTGCCTTGTCCTTTCTGGACTATCCTGAGTACAGAAAGACTTGAGCAGTGTTTTGGTTGAATGTCTGCGTCAAAGACATCACAGTTTCTTTTACAAAGAGTGCCTGTCCAGATATTATTTTTTTTCCCTGGATGGAAAATAATTTCGAACAAACATATGTTTACACATTGTGAGAGTAGAAGATTTGCTTCGAGTTGCTCCCCCTTTTGTGCCTCCTTTTTCCAGACTGTTAAAGTGGGTTTTGTGTGCTTTAGCTGGAGAGTGACGCAGTGTTTCTGTCTGAATAATTAATGATTGGCTGTACAGTCCTTCAACATTTACAAACTGACTGATGTAATGTTTAGTATTGCTGTACACTGTGTGCAGTGCTTATCTAATGCTCTCTGAATTATTAAGTGTTTGTGATTTGAATATAAAAATGTCGCCACTGTGTTCTGTCATTTCTCCTAAAGGGGCCCAGCAAATATAACACACATAAACATCCACACTCCAGTACAGATGCTTTATAACATCTAGTTATATCTTTAAAATGTCTACCATATTTATCCTAGACAGCATGCAGTGATGCATATTGATGCTAGACATTTTGACAAAATGGGACTCATGTTGGCCATGCAACGGAAATGCCATGTCCACATCTTTACAGAGACCTGCCCCATCAACATCCCGGATCAAGCACTTGGCGGGTCGTCTGTGTTCAGAGCTGTCAGCGCAAGACTGTGGACTGTATTTTACACCCATGATACTTCGTGCTCAAATGCAGTCAAGATGTGCACATGTTTCCCATATATCAGACTTTTTAATGTGAAGATGAAAACCATATTATTTTTTTGCTGCAGTTTATATTCACCCCAGAAGCAAATTCAAAAAATGCACTGCGGAATGTTCTGGGTGTATACGTGCATGTAAATAGCTGTAATAAGCCTATTGTTTATTTTAATACACTTAATTTTCTGTTAAGGTGTGTGTGTGTGTGTGTGTGTGTGTGTGTGTGTGTGTGTGCCATGTTTCCATCCAATTGTCATGCAAAAATTTAGCGCACTTTTGAAATGTCGCAAAAAACAAACAAAAAAAAGATTGTGATGTGCGTTTCCATCATCCTGTGCAAATAAACAAGGCTATGGCAAGCGTTACACATGACTGTAAATACACATGACTATAAACAAGACATATGGGTTCCAAACCAGAAACAAAACCAGTTGCTTGAACCTGATGGCACGTCATCTTAGAAAAATGAGAGAGGTCCTCAGAAATGTGTTTCAAGCGGGCAAACTGCTACCAGCCATGTCTCCGCACGTTATGGGAATATCCGGTGTTCTGCGAGTTTGCATGCCACCCGAGAATTGCATAATATCGCTATAATATCCTTTTGTGGGGTTCATCAATGGGGATAAATGATTCTAAGTATATAGCCTATTCTATGAACGTTTAGAGTCGTTAATATTTTATTACACTCAGAAGTAGCATTCATTGAGATTCGGCAAAACTATGCGGTGATAACCCCGTTTGATCAGTGTGCAGAGCAAAGTATCTGAAAAGGACCTTTTAAGAGGTGAATGCATAATGCGGCATAACAGATGATGAAGGCTACCTGCCCAGATTTGCATCCATCTCTTTTCTCAGTACAAATGAGCATTACCAGCCGCGAGGTGCATGAAATTCTCGCAAGTTTGCAGAACTCTGCACAACTGGGCAAGACACCGTCAGACGTGAGTTACAAGTTCGCTACGTCAAGAACATCTCCCATTTAGAGCATTTACTCTTTTTCGACAAAGGCAAAAACCACCTCAAGCAAGTACAAACTTTTTTGCGAAACTAAGTTGTTTTTTTCGAATTTTGCCATTTACATCAACCTTTTCTAATGCGATACTTCAGAATGCGCATTAGAAAACGTTGTTGGAAACACGGGGTGTGTGTGTGTGTGTGTCTGTGTGTGTCATGAAGGGACTACAAACTTTCTTTTCGTTAAACAATCTCGTGTTGTATAATGACAAATAACCAACCTTGTAATTTTGGTTCCAAAGTCTAAGGCTGCAGTCAAAAAGTAAAGAGTACTTTCCTAACCATTCTTTCTTGACCTCGATAGAAAATGTCATGAGGTCAAGGAAAATTGTGAGGGATATTTCATTAGGACTAGAAAAGACAACTGCGGGGTTTGTCTTTTCACAGATACTCAGGTACACAGCTTCTCCACTGTCTCAGTCGCTGTAACTAACATGACCCACATAAAATAACACTGCAACAAAACAGCGACTACACAGATGAAGAGCCATCCACTAATGTCACAGTAAAGTTAGTTATCATCCAATACATGTAGCTGTGCTCACATTGATGAGCCTCTGGTGAAATGTAAATGTAACGTTATCATGTAATGGGCATTGGATTAGTTCAGTGTCAAGCTGATAAAACTATTACTGTAACGTTGCAGTGGGAGTTTACCAGCATGTTGTGTGAAGCTGTCTCCCTGTTTGTGTATAGACGTGTCACACTGCATTTTTTCCCCAGGAGTTTGAGCCAATATGGGCTCGGTGTTGATCTGCCTCTGAGTCGGGAATGTTGAAGTAACAGAGCCTGAACATTGTCTGGAGAAAAGCCACTGCCTGCATGCCGTTCTTTCCGCGTTTATTGCGGGATTTCTGTATAAAAGTGGTTGTTTCGAATTGTGCTTGCTCATGAGTTCAAGTGAGCACGTGTAGGACCATACACTTTAAATCCGCACCGCTAGTGGCTGCTGAAAACTACTTAGTGCCACTTTAAGAACCAACACAACAGGGCTGTCCCTGGAATGAAGGAAGGAAGATGCAGGCTGTGGATGTGTAATGTAAAAAAATATTTTATTTCCAAAAGACAATTGGACTACTACCAGATACTGCACACAATGTTGACCAATAACCCAACATACAAGCTAAGTGGTATATATCTTGATGAGGCTATCTTCAGTTACTGACCTATAAAAGAGCTCCTGAGGAGTAGCAGAGTTAGGGCCCGTGTCCACCAAAGCGTTTTTTTCTGACACCAGCGTTTTTTTCAATTCATTACAATGGGAGCGCCGCATTTTTAGAACATGCGCTGAGTGTCTTTTCCACACTGGGCGTTTTTTTCTGATCGCAGAGAGTTGAAAAATGTTCAACTTAGGGAAAAAAAGCGTTCTCATCACTGTCACTTTTTCCCAGCCGTCCAATCACAGTGCAGGAGGGGCGGGACACCACACAAGCATATCTGAGCTTGAACGAAGCGATGTGCCTACGCATTGTTACATAGATGCTGTTTAAGGCAGAGATAGCAATCTTCATATTAGGAATATTTCTGGTTGTTTACTTCTAACTGCAATGCACTACAGGAAGTGCTGGGGGCAGTATCGCTTCCACTGTCTGCCATGACTGCTTGTACGCTATTTAATTAGTAAATACACTTTTGAGTGGTTTTGAGGCAAGACATCAACTGTGTAGAACTTGAATATTGGCAGTTTTACCAAAGCTGATGGATCGAAAATGTGCTCAAACGTGTTCGGGGTTGAGAAGCTCCACAAGTGCCCGCGAGGTGAGCTGTACCAGCTGGCCGGTGCCAGTCACGCCCACAGAGCCTGGTCCCAGTTACTCGGACCACTGCAGCAGCAACAACAGAGGGCAAACTAAAGAAGATAGAGAGTTATATTCAAAAAGTTATAAAGGCAGTGTTTCCTATACGTTCATTTATTTGTGGCAGCCCGCCGCAATACCAACGCTGACCGCGTTTTTGATTTTGTTTTATTTTATTTTACTAAGCCTATTTAAAATCTTATTTGATTGCAGGTGAGCGTCATAGCGCATTGGCGCAGCGCATCCTCTCTCTCTCTCTCTCAAACACAACCGCACAAATCTGTTCAACACAATGCTGGTAATGTCGGAGACGCAGCTTTAAAAAGTTATTA